GGGCAGGTTTGTTGCATCACCACGCTGGCAAAGCCTACTTTATATAACAGAAAAGCCAAGGACAAAAAATAAATTTGACTCGATTTCTGGGCACTGTGCATGATTAGGTCTGTCCTCAGATCACTGCTGCTACTATTCCTCTTAAGATCCTAATGGAATATTAGCTCTTAGTTTGCAGCTTTTAAATACGATCGCCAGCTCACTGTCTTCTAGGGAGCAGCTTTGGTGACAACTTACTGATCGCAACATACAGTTTTAGAATAAGAAAAGCACGTATCAGCTTACCCTACATTTCTTCAGGATGGTTTGATATTTTGGAGCCTGGGGTGGAAAATCCAACTTGCTTTTCTCCAATTTATTTGCATGGAGCACAACTACTATTTTGGCACAGTTTCTACTCATCCTGTATGTTTATAAAAAACAATTTCCTGAAGGATCTCGTCCCATGAATCAAATATAATGATTCCTGCTTTGTGACTTGCATTTCACTGGAGGAGTCTTGGTTGTGTCTGAATTCTCATCTGAATCTGAAGCTTGAGATTTCTTTTAGGCTGCTCTTCAGCTTGCTTTCTGCAGTTAGGAAGACCTGAGTTGTAAAGTGCAACTTCCTCTACTCATGTGACTGGGCAAGTTTAAAAAGCCATTGGGATGGAAATTATTCCTGGTAGTCTGAATTCAGACCCGGGTATGGGACAGAAACCTCTTGGGTCACTCTCATGGATGACTCCTAATGGGACTTGGATTTGGGCAGCATGAGGCCTTTCCTGGAATGGGAAGTGCCAAATACTGTCACTCATGCCCTTTTAACCTCCCAGTTGGATTACTGTAATTTGCTTCACATGGGATTGTCCTTGAAGACCACCTGGAACATTCAGTTGGTGCAGAATGCATCTTCTGATTTCATAACAAGCTAGACCCATTATTGCTGATATAACATCAACATTTCAGGAGCTGCACTTGCTACCAGGCACAATTCAAGGTGCTGGTTATTACCTCTAAAGCTCTGTATGGCTTGGGTATTTTCAGCACTGACAGCTCTGGATAGGACCTGCCCACCCAATACATGCAAACAGAGATTGTCAGTTGAAGATCCACTCCTATCAAGAGATTTAGTGGGAGGCAGTGTGGAAGTGGGAATTCTCTGAAGGACCTTTCTTCCTTTGGGAGAGCTTGTCCATGGAGGCAAGAGTAGCCCCTTACCTCATGATCTGGAAGTTTATTAAAGGTTAGATGTTCTAAAAGCCTTTGGGTAATGGAATGCAGTGCAATGCAATGGAATGCCTGCCTGCCTGCCTGAGTAAGATGTGGTACCATTTATTATATTTATTGCTTTATATTATATTTTTGTATAAGTGTTATAAATATTGTAAATTGCTTAGAGTCTACTGTGACTGAAGCAGTGTAGAAGTTCCATAAATAAATGTTCCCAAGTCAATCAGGAATGATTTCTTTACCCTGAAAGGTTGCATTCAGGCTTTCAGTTCTGAAATCAGTCTCAAGCATATAAACCCTTTTTCTCAAAATGAAATTTTAGAAGTCCCTTCCTGCCAATCTTCCTGGAAACAGGCAGGTTTTCTAATGTTTTTCTGAGTGATCCTTAAAAATAAAGAAAGAGGCAATTACCAGCCAAAACCTGATACTCACAAAACCCCAGCTAGAAAGGAGTGAAATGGAAGAAGCAACAGCTAGGTGGAGCAAGAGATCATAAATTTCTTACATGCCATTCTAAAGTGGTCAGAAAAGAACCTTTCTACACTATATATTTCTAAACCACTTTCAGTTTATCTAAGCCCAGTAAAACAATGATTGTGATCAGCTATATTAGAATATGAACAGACTATTATTACAAGCAGGTTCAAAGTCACAAAGTTGCACACTTCCAAACTTCTGTTCCTTCTGTGCCCACCGTTCCAAACTTCTCCTTTAGACAAGGTTGTAAAAAAGGAAAAGAAGGCCTGATGAAGTGCTTTAGAGAGCTTGAAAACTTAAACTCTATTTGTGAGGCAATAAAGGTGATGTTCTAATATACAATAAGCTTATTTTCCCTGTGGCCAACCTTATAGCGCATTTGTTTAAAAATAACCCTGTGCCAAATTCTCCTTGGTACTCCTCTGGGAAAGAAGAAATTTTAGGATAGCCATTTTTCCCCTCTGGAAACTCTCCCCCCAGTATGAACAAATCATCAATTAGATTTGTTTAGGTTAGATGTTCTCAACAGGTGGCTCGGGAGCTACTGGAGGTCTTCTGGGTAGCGGTTTGTCGTTCACTGGAGATGTTTATATGGGAAGATTAACCTGTTAAATCTTTCCTAAATAACATAGTGAAGCTTTGGTCCTTTATACAGAGCTGGATACAGCTTTTAATGGTAAATATTGTTCCTTGCAAGGGGATAATTTTAGCCTGATTCCAGAGCACAAAAGGAAGAAGGATGATGACATCACCAGCTTTTAAGAAGACCTGTTGGGCCACTGGTTTATTAAGACTTTCTTTTAATAGCTCAAAATTATTTGTCCCCAGTTTGTCATACATAAAGATCCTTGTTGATGTTGGTTCGTTCAGAACAGGGTTTTCATCCTGTGAAGTCTATAACTGTTGTAACCCCTCATTACTTTTTTATCTAGCGGACCCCAAGGTGCTCTGAGACTTCTAATTCAATGGAGGATAAGTGTTCCATTCCAGATAACTGAATCTCAGTATCAGAAGTTGTGAGAGTGAGGGGAGATCATGTTTGGGGCTTCTAAAAATAAAAATACTTAATTTTAATCCTGTTCAATGTGCTGATAAACTTGCACAACTCTGTTGAGTATGAAAAATAATCTATTCTTGTTGACATAATGAAGGTTGGAGGGGGAAAATGCAAAAGACATCGGATTACACAACACTGATAGATCCTATGTAGTGTCAAGTTGAGCACTGAAATAAAGGTAAACTCAGCATGACACTGTTTACTTACTATTTCACATATCACATATCACAGTGGTATTTTTGTTTCAAGTCAAATGAAACTATTAAGGGCACTTGTACATAATCTTTCTTTACCCACAGGGTTGTTAGTAATGAATCAAATCAACTGACTAAATGATGACCTCATAGTTTCTAGGATGAAGGCATTTAAATAAAATAATTTAAAAAGGCACTGGAAGCAACTGACTAAGGTTGCAAATGGGCTAAGATAGAGGGGAGGTATGTAGGGGAGCAGGCAGACCCTGGGAGTAAAACTAAAATTGAATGGAGCTTGTCAAACCACAGTGCTTGAAAATACATTCAGTTTCTTTCTCACATCCTGCAGGAGAAATAGTCACAAAACCAAAAAGGGTGGTGGAAATTAACACCGTTTATATGTTTATTAGTTTTGTTAGTGAATGTTTATTAGGTTGTGAGTACAGTCACATCATTTTTGTACAATTTGTCTTATCCTTCATATAGCTATCACTGTGGTATTGCTTGGGGAAGGGGAATTGCTTATGTCATGTAAAATGGCACTGACCAAACTGAGAGAATATAAGAATATCACAGACTTGCTGAGCAAGCATAATGCTTCAGGCTATAGTTGGCCTTTGGAAGATACAGACAAGTATGACATAAAGGCAACATCTTCTTTATGTTCATTCCCCTGTTATTCAGTAGCAAAATGCAGAAGAGCAGTTCCATCTAGCTGTCAAGATTAATAGCCACTGATTATTCTCTTTGTGAAAAATGCAGACTAAGATGATAAAAGACAAAAAGTCTGTAGCTAATTTCTCACTTCAGCTCTAAATTCATGAGGTAACATTAACCGTGCCACAGTTTACTCATCAGTTCTCCCCCTTCCATTTTCCCCCATGAAGATATTAATTGATAACTTACTTTGCTGTAAGAATTCCTGAGTTTAGACCAGTAAAACCTTGTCTTAATGGAACATTTGGGGACAAGGGATTTGCTGTTAAATGGAAATGTCTGTTAAATCTGAATTGACATAGTTTGTTATTTGTATCATTATGCAATGGATGTGTTTAATGATGTAAACACATCCATTGCATAATAATACAAATATAAAACTATGTTATTCTACTTTACAGAAATGATGTAAAGTCTCATCATTGCAAATGATTATTTAATGCAAATGATGTAAACATGTAATTACAAAAATGATACAAATGATGTACATCAGAGCAATTGTCAGCACTGCTTCAGAAACATTTTCTGTTGTTTAGAGGTGAACTCTGAAGTAAATTTTTCTGTGTTGCGTCTGAAATCCACTGGACGGAGGTCTGGAAGACTGAGGTTTGAACAAGGAGAATTGTTATGCTGAGTGGAAAGTATTGCATCTCTCTTTTTTCCCCCTTCCGTTCACTGTAAGACAGTGTTGTCCAAACTTGGCGACTTGAAGATGTGTGGACTTCAACTCCCAGAATTCCCCCACCAGAATTCTGGGAGTTGAAGCCCACTCATCTTAAAGTGGCCAAGTTTGGACAACACTGCTGTAAGAAAACAACACATGAAGCTGACAAGGGATTTAAGATCATTGTAGAAACCCAGTAATTAAGACAATAGTGGCATTCTGTTTGATGGATACTGATCTCAGAGACCAATGTTTTTTAGCTAGAAAACACATCAAGGGAAAACTGCATCAAGGGAAGAGCAGAATAAAGAAAAAAATCCAGTGTGTCAATTAATATGTAATACATTAAATATACTGTATGAATAAATAAAATGAATTGTTCTGCGGCAATGGCTAGCCAGGTTCTTCTAAGATGTTCAGAAAAAACACATGAAAATCTTAGCAGAGAGGACAATACAGTATATTTGTATGTATACAATACCTCTGTTCCTATCCCAGTGCCTTGATCTTGGTACCTCTACAACTGTAGTACAAAAGAATGGAGTAGATGCAGCAATGAACTAAATATATGATGGCTTCATACATTCCATGACTTCTTAATTCTGTGACATTTCTATCTCAGCAAAGAGAGCTCTTATTGAATCATATTTTTTTCCTCATTCCTTCCTCTATTTTGTAGGAGAATGTTTCCTGCAATGAGAGTGAAGATTACAGGATTGGACCCTCACCAGCAGTATTACATAGCCATGGACATTGTACCTGTGGATAACAAGAGATACAGGTAAAGGTCAGCTTAGCTGAGAAATGCTTAGAAATTAGAATAAGCATGAGACTTTCCAAAATTCGTAGTTGGACAGTATCTTATTTCAAATCTTTTTTCATAGATATGATGTTTATGTGCCTGAGAAATCCCATCTCAGGAGAAAGAAAACACCATAGTGTTGGACCAAAATGGACATTGATGCTG